AGCTACGGTAGACATTTCATCAGCTCCATTGGTGGAGGGCCTCGCGAACAGGTAATCCATCACTCTTATTCCCTTATTCTCTGTTTTTGTTGCTGTATAATGATGCTTGGTGGTAGAATAAGTGATTGTTTCCTGTCATTAAAGCCAGATCGACTTCTTCACCTCGTTCCTGTTGTAGAATGTATAGATGTAAAATTATTACTATTAATTTCCTCTTTCCTGTTAATGGCGACGGAGCTGGAGCTCTCGTTAGACTTAGATCTCCTCTTCCTTCCCATTTCCGTCCCCAATTTCAATCAATTAGCCGAAAAAAAAAATTTGTCTCTTCTCAGGTATTCGGTGAATTAAGATTGTACTGATATTGATTGGAAGTTGGAACAAGCGTTTTTGTCTATGTATTTTTTTCTCCTTATTTTTTTTTTTTTTTTTGAGTTTGGATTTAGGACGGTTTTTGAAGATTGGTAAGAACGTTGGGTTTCTTTTTTTAACTTCTTACATACATTTTCATGGAATATACCTTCTGTTTGATTGAAATAATTTTGGTTTGTAGTTTTTGATTGTTCACTTTTTATTTTCTCATTCTGGGGTAATTTTTAGCTTGTCCTGTTAGAAAATGCAAGCTGGATTGCGTTTAGAAATTATGTGCTTAGTGAACTTAATCAATGTTAAAGTATAAATGGCCTTTTCGGCTGCTGGTGATAGGAGAAAGTATAAATGTTAAAGATATGACAGATTTGTGCACTAAGAGTAAATGGAATGACTTTGATGATATTTAGTCAAGGGTAAGAGTAAATATGCAAAACTCAACTAAGAAGGTAATTAAACATAATCTTTGATATGATTTTTTTTATTTTACATAATCTTGGCTTATGTTACGATTGGATTTGCGTTGCACTAAATTTAATATTCCAAACCTGGGAAAACAGGAGTTTATAGACATTAGGAAAAGAGTTTACTAGCTGCAATTTGGGTTTTTTTGCTGTTTATGTTTTAGGCTCAGTTTTGTATGCTTCAGGATGTTCATTTTGCTTAGAAGTTGTTTCATACTTTCTCAACAGAGTTAATCGTGTGGAGCACTTTGTATGCTTCAGGATGTTCCTTTTTCTTTCATTTCTGTTATATTTCTGTTACTAGATGGGCTGTTATTGAAAAAAAAATTGATCTCATTTATTGGACAATGAAAAACTTGTTTGTTGTTACTTTTAATTCATGTTTGGAATTGTTATATTCAAGTTTGCAAGGCATTGAATAGGTTAAAACGTGCTATTGGAGTCAGGTTAAATAAAGCTGGTTATGTTTAGTGATAGAAATTTTTGAGCTGAATTCGAGCCATTTCGAGCTCTTGTCGAGTTGAGTAAATCGAGCCTTATCGAGTCGAACTCGAGCCAGTTTCTTATTTAGTCGAGTCTAGCTCGATAAGTTCAATGTTTGACTCGGTTCGGCTCGTTTGCACCCCTATGTATAAATTATAAATGAATATTATATAAATGTATAAATTATAATTTATAGTTTATAATTTTTATATTTTTATACATTTATGCATTTATAATAAATTTATAAATAAATATATAAATGTATTATAAATGTATAAATGTATATTATTATAAATGTGTATAAATTATAAATGAATATTATATAAATGTATAAATGTATAAATTATAAATTATAAATTTTATATTTTTATATTTATATACATTTATGCATTTATAATACATTTATAAATATTTATAAATAAATATATTTATTTATAATACATATAAATATATATATAATAAATATATTATATATAATACATAATATAAATATATTTATAAATGTATAAATGTGTATAAATTATAAATGAATATTATATAAATGTATAAATTAATATATTATAAATATATGTTAATATTATGTATAAATGTATTAATATATTAAATATAAATGTATAAATATATTATAAATGTATTATATTATATATAATACATTATATAAAAGTATATTATAAATATACATAAATATATATATTATGTATAAATGTACATTTATATAAATGTATAATATATATAATATATATTATGTATATATCAAATATATATAATATATAATATTTATATAAATGTATAATTACATATTATTATATATCATTTATATAATTTATAATATATAATATTTATATAAATATATTATAAATATATAAAAATATATTTTATCCAATATATATTTATTTATAAAATAAAATATTTATAATATGTATAAATAAATATATTTAAATTAATATTATATATATATATATCATATACATAATTGAAATATACAAATTGAAATAAACATATTAAATATTTATTTGGAGTTGTTTTTGATATATTGTTTGGATATGGTGTTTTTGGAGTTGTTTTTGAAATACACATTTACTGTAGCATTTGGAATGTGAAAAACAGTTTTTCAAAAACAGTCCCAAAAACAAGCTATCCAAACAGACCCATGGGTTTTTCCTCTTTTTAGAGATGGATAAATTATAGTTGTGAATGACAAGTGCTGGGGTGGATTTGGCTGTTGAAAGAAGAGGGAAATTTTGGTGTTGATGTAGAGCAGAAGTTGTGGTAGTTTCTAACATTGAAATACAAAGGGTAGTGAAACAGAGAGAGTTTGGGTGCGTTTGGATCAAGAAGGAACCATATAAAATTATAAACTACCAAAATTACCATGCTATATTCGCCACAAAAAAAAATAAAACAAAATAAAATAAAATAAATCATGGAAGTCAATTTCATTTTTTGTTTTCTTTTCTTGGAAAAAAAATAAGAATCTTTGTGGTCACATTTTCAAGTTTGTGTCCAACCACATTAATATTTTGTTGGTGATAATTGGTGGATATATCAATTTTGCAAGAAAATTAGTTTGTTAATTATATTTCGGAAAATAACTTAATTTTTTTTTTAAATCTAGCTAACGTTCTAGTATGGCTTGTAGAACTTTTCTTGCTTCATTTCTTATTTTCTTCTTGGTTTTATCCATCTAAATCTTTCAGAGATTTGAAAATAACAGAAAGGGATAATTTCAGAAACCTCCCCTGAGGTTTATAACAGTTTCACTGCCCTCCCTTGAAGTTTTCAAAATATCATTAACCTCCCTTAAAACTAATGTTCTTGTAACAAATTAGTCTAATTCAAAAAATCAACAATAAAAAAATGATTTCAAGAGTAAGAAGAATATTTCATACCAAAAATACCCCTTAACTTATTACTAATTGGTTATCAAAAGGAAGTATTAGTTAAAAATAGATAATAAAGACTAAACCCTAGCATGAATGTAATAGAATTTAGTAATAATAACCATTTTCATAGTACTATATAAAATAACAAAATCAAAGTATTGGAGAGGAAAACTTATTAATTTGGAATCAAGATTTATGCAAAAATTTTCTAAACTCTTATAACTAGTTTGGGAGCTGCGATTTGATGAAAAAAAATGTGATAAAAAAGACACTCTTTCTAGTATTTGGGAGTTTTTAAAGAACAGCAAAGGATGAAAAGCGTCTAATTTGGACGAATGAGCTCCCATTGTTATGACTACCAAAGTTTTCCGCCCAAATGCAGGCGGAAAGCATTACAAAAGCCAAGAATGCCTAATAAAATTTTTCTAAATGCCAATTTTGTCCTCAAGGGTATACTAAACAAATTTTTATTGACATATATACCCAAAATCATGCCTTTTCCTACTTTAATTCTCAAACAATATTAAAAACTCTTCTCTTCTTTTCTTTCATAACTTAACATTTCCCATGTTTTTTTTTCTAAGCTAAACATTCAAACTAGCTATTAGTATCAAAATTTGAAAGATTTTGAAAAGGAATTGAACAAAACAAGTATGGCCTTTATAAGAAAAAAATCACTATAGATGGCAAATGATAAAAAATATGAGTAACTCTTATATATACTAACAGTGTATACACTATCACGGTTCGATGAATGATATTTGCGCAAAATTTGGGTTTCAAATTTAGATTCAGATTATGTGTCGTGCATCCAATGGTAAAAATGCATATACTGTTAGTGTATAGAAAATGAATAGAAATTTCCATCATTTGTAATTTAAAAAAAATACAACTCTCAAGTAACGTTTGGATTAATAAAAGGGTATGATTTTAATGGAAAAGCAAATAAATCAAAGTAGAAAAAAATTTTTCTAACCATTTTGTTTGGATTACTTATACAAAGAAAATAAAAGAAAGACCAAATATTTTGGAAAAGAAGGGAAAGAATAGATTATGTGCAGTTACATTTTATCCATAACTTAATAAAATCTAATTGTAAACATATTTAATACTTTACCCTCTTTTGTGTATTTTCATATTCATCTTGTTTTTCTTATGAAAAAATTATGAAATAATAATATTTAATCAGAATTTTAATCTTTGTTTAGGAGAAAGAAATTATAAGAACTACTAAAATATAGAAAAAGAATTTTAAAATGCTAGCAATTATCGTTATAAAATTTAGTATTCAAGATTTTCAATTTTTTTATATTCAAAATCATGGTTAATTTAGTACAAGTAACTAAATTGTTTCTCTCCATATAAATACGTAATATTTCCTAAGTTGTAAGGATAGTATAGTCATGTCACCATTTATGAGATAAGCATTGGGTTCCAAATGACTAATAGGGGAGGTAAGTGGTATTTTCAAAACTTCAAGAGAGGGCAATGCAATTATCAGAAACCTCAAGGAGATTTCTGAAATTATCCCTAACAGAAATCCTGATTTTTGGGTTGAACGTTGGAAGAGTCAAACAGTAGGATAAACATTCACATGTTATATGTTCATCTACACTTATATGTCTAGTAACAATGAAGAGAATTCTCAGCTTTCACAAAATATGCAAAACTTTTGTGTTGCTGCTGGATCTAGTACTAAGGTGAAAAAGCCCTTCAAGAAGGTACTACCATTATTTTCCACACCTTTATTACTTCACTATTTTCCAAAATTTTCCTCTAGTTTACCAATTTGTCTTTTTAAAACGTGGTTTTGGGGAAGTTTTACAGTGCATTTTGATGTCTATTATGACACGCATGTTTTATTGGTTATATTTTTTGCTGGTGCAATTATTGGAATTGAATCACAAGTTGCAATGGTCTTTTAGTGTGAGTGATGATCATACTTGGCTTTAATTTGACTGAGTTACACATTAGGCTGCCTATAGCCATTGAAAACTGTTCTTTACATCATCTACAGGATCTTTGTTGTTCAAAATAAGCACTAAATTTCATGATTATGTAGCTAAAAAGTTTATACCGTATTCAATGTAACACTGATACCAGAAGTTATTTAAGTTTCAATTGAGCATCTGTTGATTGAAGTATGGGCTGGAAAACTTAAGTTATGGTTACTGCATTACATATCACCTCAGATGCACTGTTGTTGCTTCACAAATATCTGTATATTATTGCAAATGAACCAAGTTAAGAACATACTAATTTGTTGTATTACTGGAGAATAATTTGATCTCAGGGTTTCAAGATTTTTGTCTAGCTTACAGATTTGAATAATCATCATCTCCTTGTTCTGGAACCAATTTGTTGTATCACTGGAAGCTATATATAATGGCCACCGGGCAGTTTATAGATTCTGCAACCAGGTAATAAGTTAAGGACCATACCCTTCTTTGTTAATCTAGGAATCAATTCTGTAAACCATTTTTTCTTCTTTGATCAGGAAGTCAAAATCTAAAGCATCATCAGAAGTGCAACTTTGTGTTGATGGTGTACCTTTTACACTAGACAGGGTAAGAACATCCTCTAGATGCAGCCATTTCGCTTCCCATTTTTTTCATCCTCTAATTGGTTAAGGAAATCTTGTCTTTTAAAGGCCCTGATTTAGATATCCCTTCTGCTTTGTTTAAAGTTTATATAAATCTGATAGTTGTTAACTGTATTAGGAACTTCTGGCTTCTAAATCATCAAAGCTAGCTGTGTTGCTCAAAGATCATCCAAGTGAGGATCTCACAAATGTTCTTAGAGATGCCCCTGCTGACCCAGAAACATTTGAGCTAGTTGCAAGATTCTGCCATGGTTACGAAATCAACCTGTCAACCGAAAATGTCACGCATGTTGCTTGCCTAGCCCACTACCTTGGAATGACTGAGAGCCACTGCACCAATAATTTGTTCAGCAAGGCTCTGGACTTCTTTGAACACCAAGTTGTTTCTAGTTGGAACAAATCCATTAGAGCCCTCAAGGCCGCAGAGGATATTCTTCAACAAGCAGCGGATCTTGGCCTGGTTGGTGCCTGTGTCGAATCAATAATCTTAAAGGCTTTGGAACATCCACATCTTCTTGGAGAATCATTCAAGGACTTGACCTCCAATGATGAAGGAGAGGACAATGAAAATTACTTCAGGCCAAATGTGCGGAGGAAACTCTTTGCTTTGGAATGGAAATCTGAAGATTTGTCAATATTGTCTCTCAGGCTCTATGAGCCCATCATTGGTGCAATGATTGAGCGGGAAATCCCAGCAGAATACATAGCTGCAGCTGTATGTCAGTATGCAAAAAAGTGGGTACTTTTCAGCATGAAAGAAGGGGATGATGGTTCAATTTACAAGAAAAGTATCCAGAGAGAGATAATTGAAGCAGTGGAGAGAATGTTACCAAATGCAAGAGGACTAATACCCTGCGCATTACTATTTGAAATGCTACGGTCTGCAATAGCCTTGGATGCTAGTAACGAGTGTAGAAATGGATTTGAAATCAGGATTGGGAAGCAATTAGACCAGGCGACTGTGAAAGATCTCCTGATACCTTCTCAAGGATATGCCAAGGAAGAACGGTATGACACAGAATGCGTGAGGAGGCTCATGAAGAATTTCTATCGCAATTATACTGGAAAAGATGGACATGAATTGATCACAGTGGCAGAACTTATTGAGAACTTTCTGATTGAAATTGCTAGTGACATAGACTTAAAGATGAGCACATTTATATCACTTGCTGACTTTTCACTTGCAGCATCTAGAGGAATTCTACAAAATTCAGATGGAATGTACAGGGCTATAGATATCTACTTAGACAAGCATAGATATCTGACAGAATCTGAGAGAGAAGAGGTATGCCACCTGTTGGATTGCAGCAAGATGTCTCCAGAAGCTTGCTTACATGCTTCAAGGAATGAAAGATTGCCTGTGAGAGTAATGGTGCAAGTGCTATTTGCAGTTCAGTTGCAAATGCGAGAGACTATGCCAAAGGAAATCAAGGGATCAGAGGAGGGGAGATTATTTTTAAAAGGGGCAGAGGAAGAGGAAGAGGAAGAGGAAGCAGCAACAAGGGGTTGCAACAGCGAAGAAGAAGTGATCAAGGCAGAGATGGAAAAGATGAGCAGCAAAGTGTTGGAACTGGAAAGAGAATGCGATATGATGAGAAGGGAAATCCTGAATGGTAGCTGCAGGAAAGCTAGAAAAGGAAAAGTGAACATGTGGAAAGAAATGAAGAGGAAGTTAGGATGCATAACCAGCATGCATGATTGCAACTGCCATGTCAAGAAGAAGAAGGTCCATCCAAAATAGGAATGCAAATATCAGCTTTCTTTCTTTGTACTCTTTTTCCTTATTCTTTTGTTTTTTTGACTTGAATATGTCTGATAGGATATTTCTGGAGATTGCTTATTAATTGATGGGACGACTATGAATGTTCTGCTCTAACTAGACCTTGATCTTTTGGCAGTTCTAGTTTAAGTGGTTCTCATTTCAAGTTTCATTTTTTCAATTATTTGTTGCTAAGTCAAAAGTTATTTTCTACTTCTTAGATTATGTTGGAAAGTGAAACTATGTAATTTTCCATAGTACGGCACAGCACCTGTGATGATACAGATTTTTGTTGGTTATCATTTCCTGCATCAAATGTGAATGCAGAATTAAGTTCTTTTCTTCTAGTGTTAAGGATGGTTGGTGGCAATAGAAAAACCAAATGAAGCCATGATCTGAGTTTCAAGCAAATTGTGCTACCTGTTCTGCAATATTGCACCAAGTTTTTTTCCATTGATATTTTATGTAGCGTTAATCATGCTTTGCCCTCTCAACGCAATACGGAATCACCCTTTATCATTCCAATATTGGATATATCCACTTTGTTCCCCACCTCCTGCCTTTTCTTTCTCTTTTGGATCTAACGTCAACAATCTATTCTACTCTTATGCTAGAGGGGAGAGCGTAATTAGACTTGTACGAGATTGGAGGTGAGTTTTTAAACCAGACAAGTGTATTAATGCATTTTCTAAATCTTATGACGAAAGGAAGTATTATACTTCCCGCTAATGCACGAGGGAGGGCAGACCAAAGCCCAATGGTTGCATGTATACACTTTGTCACCTCACTTGGGCAAATTTTTAGAAATAATGTAAAAAAAAGTCACAAATTTAGGGGGAAATGCACACCATTTCTTCATATAGGGTCACTGCAATTGAGCTATGCAGCACCTTGACATATCATTTCCTTTTTCATTTTTTTCAACACCATTTGCAAACTTTTGCATTCGAATCCCAAAAAGAATTTTTTTTTTTTAAAATGGTGTCCTAGATGTGGCGACACTGTTAATTGATAATTTGTGGTATCTCATGGGATGTACAGCTATATATACCCAAAAAAAAAAGGTACGCTTTTTGCAAAAGTCAATACAAATGGCCTTTGCAGTAAAGAGCCAAAATTTGCCATCCAAGCGAACCTTTGCCACAAAGATTTCTATTTACTTCTCTTGCGTATGTACCTCATTTTGTATTTCATAATTTCAGCAGCATTTTTGAACAATTGACTAACCATAATATATTTCAAAACATACTTTTTAAATTTATGATTTTCTAATATTTTCATTATCAATTAACACTGTAGTCGAAATATTGGCACTCAGCATTGTAACAGACCTCTCATTATCATTGCCGATTTTTTGACCGAATTTTTTTCCCCTTCTTTTGGTGGAATAATTCGATGAATTAATTGCTTTGGCGTTATTTATCCCAACTTAGCTTTGTTGAACTGATGGGAATACTGAGAATCTTATTTTAGATGAATTAACTTCAATAAGAATTGCCCAAACAAATTGTATGTTATTGTAAATTGGTTTCTCTGACAAAATGAAGCATAGCAAAGGATTGTTACTGCATACGCTTTATCTAGAGAAGAGGCAAACTCATCTAATCTTATTTTAGATGAACATCAGATTGAAGATTTCTTGGTGCTCAATATATATGTATATGTGTGTATATATATATATATAGACATGTATAGACACACATCATGATTCCAACATTAATGGAAATTCTCGACAAAGAAACAACATCTTTATATTTTTTGACCCTTAAAAAATCGTTTTGAATTAGGACAAGAAGATGCAAAAATGAGCAAGCAGCAAAATTAGCACGTTGTTAAGCTGTTGCCTGCAAAACTCCCCCCAGAGTAAAAAAAATACAAGATGGTCACAAATTCTATAGTACAGTCTATATTGATATCCTTGTCATCTCTATTTTGCACAATAAAGCTGTCGCTGATACGCAGGTAGGAGCTGTAAAGTCACAGGTGGTATTGAAACCCTTTTGGCATGAAGGCAAGCACAAAAGAGTCTTTTCTGCACCGAATTGGGGTGAATATATCCTCGACAGATTGAGTTCAACAACAAAATGTTTCAATCAACCTCTTTTTCGGGTCCAACGTACATAGTACAACATGCTGAAATCAAGATAAGTGTACAGCCAACTAGTCTACCAAATGTTGGAACTATTCTAGATAAGCTCATTCCAAGCAATTGAGTTGAAGCAGCCTAATAACAACACCAAGGAGAAGGAAAGAGGATGCAATTAGCAAGAGATATTGTGTTAGGTTTCAAATGCAGTCGTGTAACTAGCATGAAATTAGGATATCAATTCAGCAACTATAATAATTATACAAGAGCCCAACAAATTCCAAATTCCAAACTCCATCTAACTGCTAACAACAGGGCCTTTAACTGCTACACTGTTAATCGTGGTGTTTGAACTAACTAACAACTTCCTATTAGCTAACACTTCTTTCCCGGCTTGTAAATTGCGGAGCGGATTAGAAATCTAACACTTCCATAAGACACTATCACAAACATGAAAGCATACAACTGCATATTTTTCCCTTTCAAGGATTCTCGTAGATATGAATCTCGAGTATATGTGGAGGCATATGGAAAAACTCATTAAGTCAGTGTTATTACATACTGTCAGTACAACTGATCAAATGTTGCATACTGTCATTAAGTCAAAGTTATTATCCAAAAAATAAGAAAAAAATCATTAAGTCAATGTGATCACATAACTACTTACAGATACAGGAGAACTCCCACAATAATAGGCCAGTTTGTTTCCACCTTTTTTTAATATATAAATTACCAAAGCCATAAAATGTATCATGACATCATCAGAAAGACACTGCATGTTCCTAACTGAATGTTACCACATAGAGAGTGAGACAGCTGGTATAAAAGAACTGCATCATATCCAGACTAAATGGTACAGTATGAAGCACTACATAATACCTGAAGATACAGAATATTCACAACTTTGCTGGTTTTCTCAAGCTGAAGTGCACGTGCTACAGTTATCTGAAGAGAGAAAAATGTGTCAATGGGCATCCAAGAAATAGTTATGATCAATATTCAGCCACAATTCGTTTTCAGATCAAATTTTGAAATTCAAACAATGTGAAAGGATTAGAGCTTCAGAGAGTGACCTCTGCCAAGAAAGCTAATGAACCAAGTATCACCATCAGAAGAAGAGTATAAAAACCAGGAAGCACAAAACCCTACATGAGTACACGAAAAAGAAATAGTTGTAAGAAAGCAAGATAAAAAATGATACATCATGTAGTTGGTAAACAGCAGATGTCTTTTAAATCAGTGCAATGTCTAAAACACGCAAAAGAAGCACACATCAGACGATCATTTACATACTTTTGTCCATGCCATTCGAAGCAAAAGATTACAAATTACAATCTTTATTCAACAAAAGAACCTAAACCAAGAGATATGATTAAAAGCTCGTGTCATCTTAATGCTTAATTCACTTAGAGAATAGAAAGGCTACAGCATTTACCTACGGAGTAAATATATATGGCCAAAAGACTCCACTTGTACATTGGATCTGACCTTTTACATTTTCTTGCACATAAAAGGACCTTCTAAACAATTTTCACAAGATTAAAATGTGCCCATAGGTATATCTATCTCAGGATGACAATCGACAAGCAACAATAGATTCTGCTGTTCGAGGTTAACCCGTGACCATGTAAGAATTACAACTCCAACAATCTACCTTTTTTTTCTTTTATTTGCACTTGCATTTTCTAATCTTTTATGTGGCAGTATATGTTGGCTTTCTAAATTACATTCAGTAACAAAACCATCCCATTAGTACCTTATACAATTTGATTTTCTAGTCAAGTTGTTGATTATATTTGAACTCCAACTTTCATATTAGCTTTATCAGTAAACAAAGGCATAAGATTATCTGCTGATAAACTTCCTTAGAATTTTGCTTTTACTTGAGTAGTTTATGCCAATAAAACTAAATAAGTTTGAAATTGCTATAATCTGTTAGGCAAAAAGGAAAAAATAGACTACCAAGCAAAGCCACAATAAAACCAAGTAGATCCAATGCACTCATCAGACAACCATAGTAGAAGCAACATTTTTTGTATGATTTATTGGGGTCAGGATTCTATAAAAAGAAAGTAAAAAAGGAAAAAAGCTCTTGTGTAATTCTTCTCCTTATTTCTGTCCTTGTGATGGCAAGATATAAGCTGCATAGTTGAAAGGAAAAACTCCGGCATTCAGGTCCGTTGAAAAGTTAATAATATTGTTATTACCACTGCTTGAGGCACACTCCATTTGTGTGCTACACAAGGGTGTGCTAAATAAGCAGAGAGAATGTAATTGTTGATTTAGGAGGTGATATATAGTCAATCTAGTAACTCAAAACCAGTTAGGAATTTTTTGAAACCACAAAAAATGACATGACACTAGTCTATCTTCAGGCTATAGATAGAGTAAGAGAAGATTATTGAAAGGAAAAGTCTACAATAAGTCTTTTTAATGAGATTGTATGTCCTAAACCTAAATGAAACATGAGATTGCATGTCTTCACAAAAGCACAGAATCTTTTTGAGGATGACGGCAGATAGGAGTAATTATCCCAAACTCTATGCCCAAGCCAAGAAAGTGTATATTTTGGACAAAAGAAACTACATGAGCAATAAAAGTGAAGGGGACTGAGTCTTGTTATGCAGGAGACTAAACAGACTAATCCTTCTCTCTTACAGATACCTTAGTCTCTTTTTTTCCACGAGGGGGATGAAGGGGGTTAACATACTGAGCTATCCCTTCTCTATCATTTTTTTGTGAGTTCTGAGCTCCTAAGCACCTTGCTATAAAGTTCTTAGGGCTGTTTAAAGTAGCTTCCATTCGCTCATTGTTATTTCCTAATGCCTTTAGTGCATGGACTGATATTATACAAAAAGCAAAAGAAAAACAGTACTTCCCTAATGAGAGCCCCAACTAGAATACAGTGGTGACCAAAATATCATACAAAAAGCAAAAGAAACTTGCAAAAGCATATAAGAAATAAATAGTATCTATAAACAGCTTGAAACCAATGATGAATTACCTTTACTTTTCAGTTTTAACATTAAAAAGGCATGGGCACATTGTAAGACAAGATAAATGGAGAAAGATAAAGATACTCAGTTGAATATTTTTTTTTTTTAAATGCGTTTTAGGAGATATCAGTTCAAATGAAACCTGAAAATTGTCAGCAACTAATGGCACAGAATAATCACTTAAAAGTTTAACTCATCCAAATGAAATTGTGTTA